ACCACAGTCATTTCCACCACACTGCCCTCTGTGGTGGAAATGACACCAAAAACAGTGTTATCTCAGTCTGCTCAATCAGCTCCTCTTTTCGTCATGACCCCTGTGCTATTTGGGCACATCTATCAAAAGTCCTCACTTTCCTTAAGGATCAATACCCCACTGCTTCAGTGCTGCATGTGGTCAGTGATGGGCCGACCACCCAATACCGCTCCAAAAATAATTTCTACTTCTTATCAGTTTTATACATCAAACTCAGCACTACACTAAAAACAGGTGTGGTTATGTTTAATGACTTTGTGAATTGAGTTTGAGTGTGATGAGTTCAAGAATTGTTCTAATAAATATCTCTACTGTTTCTCTACATTCACGTTAATTCATTGTCATTTCCACAACACCCTGTCATTTCCATCACCACAAACATTTAAAAAAAAATATTTAAAAAGTTCTTATCACACATTAAAAATGTATCCACAATTTATGAGATCATGCTCTACTTAATATAAAAATTCAAGTTATTTATTTTCTAATAAGCTCTTACCCAAACCAATATTAATTTTCAGAGTGTGACAGGTGTACAGTTCAGCATTTGGTCCTTAGGGCAGTTCATTTATCTCATTGACAAATGTATAATTATTGTACATCGTGGAAAAACTGATAAAACTAGTTACAAAAATGATCTTAGACAATTCTTGAGTGGCATACGTTATTCTATTTTTAAATAACAGCTGTATATTGAGATGTAGTGGAAATGACATTTGTTCATTGCAGGTAGGAAAAAATGTAAAATATTAACAATTTCTCTTGTAATCTAAGTTTGTTCTCTTACAGACCTTAAAACTAGACAAATTATTTAAACTTATGAGACTGTGTTATGTGTTATGTGCCAAGTACATCCTGTGATTGCTAGACATACAGCATTCACACTTATAGCTGCTCATACAGTCAGTAATCACATGCTGATGGCCTGTCATACAGATGGTAATCATACAGATGACCGGCCATATAGTCAATAATCACACTCTATGGCCGTTCATATAGACCACATTCACACTGCACTGAAAAAAAAAAAATCCCATAAAAAAACGGTAAAATTCCGGCAGCTGGGGTGCTGGAAAATTACCGTAAAATAACGGGCACATTAAATAACAGTAATTTTCCATAATTAAAAAATACAGTGTTTTGCTGTCATTTTACATGAGATTTTCTGTATTTTCTTCAGCTTTTAATGTTCAATAAGGAGCTTTACTTAAATGCTGTGGAAAGTTAAGTAAAAACCATGAAATTATCATTAAGTTTGAACACTGCTTTAATCCAAATAATCACCGGTAAGTGCAAAACAGTGTTTTAATAATTTATTCACCTATCTGCAAGAAAAATTATCATTAAGTTTGAACACTGCTTTAATTCAAATAATCAGCCGTAAGTGCAAAACAGTGTTTTAATCATTTATTCACCTATCTGCAAGAATATACCATCTTAACTGCAAGAATATACCAATATAGTTTGTTCAGAACTGCAACAATATACCAGTATAAAGAGTATAGCACAACTACAACATATAGCAATAGTTTGTACATAACTGAAGTATAACAATAAAACTTTGATCACAACTGCAACAATATTCCAATAATTTGTTCATAACTGCAATGGTATAAAAATATTTTTAAAAATGATCATAACAGCAACAATATTTCAATTTAAAAATTAGTCCAAAAGTTAAAATTCGATCACAACTGCAACAACATACCAATTCAGTTTGTTCATAACTGCAACAGTATAAAAATATAAACAATTATCATAACTGCAACAATACACACTAAAATGAATTGTTCAAAACTGCAACAATATAGCAGTTTGGTAAACAAATAACAATTAATAATTAAATTGTCCTTAAAACTGAACCACCTGTGAACAGATTAATTCATCCTGACAACAGATGAGGCATGAAAAAAACAAATAATTAAACCATGAAAGCAAATTATCAGCAAGTATTTTAAGTCTGTGACGCTGCCAATAATTTCTGCTAGGCAATGTAGGAAGATCTGACACTCAAAGTATTTACTCCATCCATTCATAGTCCGCAATCTTGTTAATCAGTGAAACAACCTTTGGACTGACTGCCGATTGCTTTCTCGATGTAGTCTTCTCCACTTTCGATCCCTTCTCGGGGTTTATCTTAAAAAAGCATCTGTTGAATGGAAAAAAATCCTTAGTAATAAAACATGGACTGTTCACAAGGTTTTAACGAGGAGGGATACTGGGCATGTGCCTATGCAGACACCCAGGCCTGACTGTACATACGATATTTCAGATCATCAGTGTGACTATATCTGAAAGTAAAACGTGCAGTCCAATTAATGTTAAGCGAATTTCATTATACAGGCGTAATAACCAGTGTTTGAAGAGGGAAAAAGTGCCGACGAACATAACGTTCCTAACGTTCCTAATGTTCAAATCGCGCTCGGAGGGGTTGGGTCTCTTTAAGCGCTGGTCCTAATGAATCTGTTTCTGAATTCAGAACTTTCATCCAACCTCGACTCGGAAAATAGCATTTTTGAGCTTTTAGACGACGCCTACTATTATGTATTTAAAAACTGATTAGAAATATTGCACTATGCGTCGAAGTTCGGTAAAGTTGGCAACATTCACAGATATTCACAGATTCAAACTTAACGTTACCTGATCAATAACTCCTCAGCTAAACATTCTTAAAACACAAATTACACCTTTCTAATAGCAGTAGACAACCAGCTAACGACATAATGTTAATTTTCCGCAAAACAAGCCTGTTTTTCCCTCAGGGACAACATATAGCAGTTAGCCTACTTGGTAACGAAACCTAAAACTACAAAATTATGTAGTAAGATTCGGATAAAATCTAGCAAAAAGAAAGAAAAACTACACAGTACCATCTAATGAAACCTAAATTTTAAACTTTTTGAAGATTTTAAATGACTAACGGTACTGGTCAGCGCAGAAGTTTGAAACACACACTGGTTTAACGATTCAAAAAGGTTAACATTCTAAATGCTAGAACTCAAATATAGCAGAAGTAGAATATAGTAATGACCAAATTAAAAAACATGTACTTTACCTTCTTATTTTCGCCTCACATCGAAGATTGAACGCAAAGCTGAAAGTCGATTGATTCTTTTTTTTTATTAAACTCGACCCCTTAAAGAGAGGTCTCTTATTAGCCAATGATTTAACTTTTTTTTTTTTCAATAATAGGACTAAAATTTAGCAAGCACCTCCTTTTCTGGTCTTTGGTTATTAATATTCCAAGATATTGAACCTCACTCTTTAAGGGAACAAAAGCCATTATCATTAATCTGATCTGAATAATCCAAAATGTCCAAAACTAATCGTATATTATTTGTTATGTGCCGATTTTTCATGAATCCCGATTGTGATTCATCAATTACTGAATCCAAAATTGTTTTCAATCTTCTAGCTAAAATTTGGGCCAACAGTTTATAATCATTATTTAATAAACAAATAGGGCGCCAATTATCAATATACTGGCTGTCTTTATTTGGTTTGGGAAGCAATACAATTAAACCTTGTGTTAAAGTAGGTGGAAGACACTGTTTTTTTATGCTTTCAACAAAAACCTCTAAAAGAAAGGGAGCCAATTCCTCTGAGAATAATTTATAGAACTCTGATGTCAAACCATCAGTACCTGGTGATTTGGAATTTTTCAAATGATTAATTGCATCCATCAGCTCGCAAATTGTAACAGGTCTATCACAATGTTCCTTTTCAGTTCTATTAATAGGTTTAATCTGCAACGAATTCAAAAAGGCATAGGCTGACACCTGAGAGTAACTAGATGTATACAAATTTTTATAAAATTCACTACAATATTGAGAAATTACTGTATGATCATCCGTTATAACCCCATTAATATTTAATTTACTAATGGTGTTATAAACAAAATTCCGCTTTTCTAAATTAAAAAAATAATGTGAATTTTGTTCCCCTGCCTCAAGCCACTTTTTTCTGGAACGAATAAAGACACCTTCAGCTTTTTTCTTATACAAATCATCTAGTTTACTTGATAACTCGGCCATTTCTAGTTTGTCATCCTCTAAAAGAGAGTCTGGATGTCTCTGAGACAAATTTGTTATTCTTGTTATTATTCTAATTTCTTCAGCTCGTTTACTTTTGGCCATAAAGGAACCATACTTTCTCATATATTTGCCAATTTCAAACTTTAGAAGTTCCCAATTTTTCCCAAAGGCATTTTCCAGTTTAGCTTTAAACCAAAACCTACAAATCAAATCTTTAACTTTCTTTTGGACCTCATTATGCAGCAAGAGGGAATTATTAAGTTTCCAATATGAAATATTTGCATTATGGTTTTTGGAGTGCAGGTTCACATTTATATAGATGGCTTTATGATCTGTTAAAGGAGTAGGTAAAATATCTACTTCTACCCCATCTTTATCAAAACTTTCAGAAATTAACCAATAGTCTATTCTGGATAGATTAGAGCCTGACTTGTTACTCCATGTGAAGGCTATGTCATTAGGGTGTTTAACTCTCCAGATATCTTTTAGATTAAATTTATCCATAACATTTTTGAGATTCATATTTAGAATGAGCTTCTTGTATATAACAGAAATCAGACCTGTGTTGTTTAGCAAATAAAAACAGTGCTTTTCTTTTAATATTATTACGCAGCCCCCTAGCGTTAAAAGAGAAAATAGATAAATTTAACAGATTAACAGAACAAATTGAAAAAATATATACTGTATAAAGTCAACCTCTGGATAAAAATAAGAAACTAAAACTCAGGTTAAGCCGAGATCAGCACCTTTAAAAAAATATATATATATTAACAAGGATAACTGATCAATAACCTTTCAATTGGAAGTTTTCCCCTTGAAAGCAAATTAGCATCAAGAGTAACGTATAGTTTCTGTTGGCCACTTTCACTAGTAAAATGAAATGACTAACCTAAATTTTCAAGTGGGCCACAACATGCTTGGTTTCTTTTACAGTTCCACGCCGTCAATAAAACCTCGGCCTCCAGCTAAGTATGCCGATTTACCCTCTTCTCGTGCCTTTTTAATCAAAGGCCATAATTTCTGCCTGGAATCTCTGTCCTCCTTCGTTAAATCTTCGGTGAAACGCAAGCCATGATCTCGAAGAAACGGGCTGTTTTTCGCAGCTTTCCACACGGCTTCCCTGTATCTCCTCACAGCGAAGCGAACGATGACAGCTCGAGGCCTTGACTCATTCAAACGCTTGGATCCCAAACGGTGCGCTACATCAATCACAGCTGGCAACTGCTCTCTTTCTTGCGGTAACACTTCTTGACAAATACGAATCACCTCCTCGCGAACATTCTCCTTCACCGCTTCTGGGATGCCGTGCACTTTCATGTTCCATCTCCTGCTGTAACGCTCCATGTCTACCACACGATTCATGCAGGTCAGAGTAGATTGTTCACTTATCTCTACACGTCTTTCAATGAAGCCCAACTTTTCTTTTAAGTCCTTAATTTCTCCTCGTGTAGCTTTAACCATCTCTTCTAGCGCATCGCTTCTTGTATTGATGAGATGAGCCAATTTAGCAACAATCTCATCAGACCTTAAGTTGTCTGCACTAAACTGGGAAAGCGTAGGTTTCTTGGCGATTGGAGGCTTACTGGGTGTTAAGGGAAGTGGAGGAAATTCTTCTTCGTTTTCCAGATCATGAATCATCCCATCTTCATAATCATGATCAGTGTTAGCCACCCTGCCATCACTGTTCGCTGCTTTGCTAACAGCACTTGGTCATTTTTGTGCAGATTTAGGCATTTTGCATTAACGTAATAATGTAAAAGATATGACAAAATACTCTACAGTTTTGCTCAATGTGAAAGATCTTTCAGAAGACTAAATTATCCTAATTAACTGAGTTTGATGCTGAGAGCTCGAATGTTCCGTCCGTTCACAGCGCCATCTTGGCCACCCCCCCGAAAGTCGATTGATTCCTTTTGCGCGCGCAGCAGCCCTACTACGTGCTTAGAGGAGAATGTATCCGTGCGCCAGGGTGGGAATTCCTTCAGTTCGAATATTTAAATAATTTAAATATTTTATCTTCCTTTTTGTAATTTAAATATCAGCGTATTATTATATTATTATATCACATTATGAAACGATACTGGGAATAAATTAGTAATAAAACACTAAACTGAGCAGAACTACTTTGATAAGCGGAAGAAGATGTGGCCAGTCAGTGACAGTATGGAAATATGATTATTTTACTCGAATTGATTCTTTCAGGTAGGACGTTTCAACAAACCGGTTCAAAAACTTATTCACCACTGATTCACCTGCTCTTTTATGCAAACACGCAATGACCTACATATACAAAATGTTTTATCAATATTATATAAAAAAAATTATAAAAAAAAAAAAACTTGTTTTAATCAACATATCAATTTCATAAACCATGAAAAGACATTAAGAAGCTGACATTTCACCCCTCATTTAAAGGATTAGTTCACCCAAAAATGAAAATTAGCCCATAAATTAGTCACCCTCAAGGCATCCTAGGTGTATATGACTTTCTTCTTTCAGACGAATCCAGTTGGAGTTATTCAAATATTAAAAAAATTGTCTTTGATATTTCAAGCTGTTTAATGGCAGTCAGCGGGTGTTGCAGTGCATCAGTCCAAAATAAGTGAAATAAAAAGCGCCCATCCATAATAAAAAGTGTCTCACACGGCTCCGGGGGGTGAACAAAGTCCTCCTGTAGCGAATCGATGTGTTTTTGTAAGAAAAAAAAACATATTTAAAACATGATAATCAATTTAATCTAGCTCGTGCTCACTGTACACGGAAGCAGCTCCGGGCGGATGACGTAAGATATATATGTATATATATATATATTCTTTTTTAATAAATCTGCAAAAATGTCAACGATTCTGTGTTTTTCTGTCAATATGGGGTGCTGTGTGTATGTTAATGAGGAAAAAAAATTAACTTATATGATTTTAGCAAATGGCTACAATATAACAAAGAGTGAAAAATTGAAGGGGGTCTGAATACTTTCCGTACCCACTGTATATAGCGCACTGATAAATTGGTGTGTGTTATGTGAAAAAACATTTTTTGGAAGGGGGGGGTGTTATGCACATTGACATGTTTTTCATGTGATTTTACACTGGATATGTAAATATACAGTCTATTTCGGTATTTTTACCATTTTTAACTGCATTTCAAAAATACATGAAAAAACTGTGAAATAAAACAGTAAAATTCCGTAAAATAACAGTTTTTAACAGTGTTATAGCTGTCATACAGACAGTAATCACACGCTGATGTGCGGTCATACAGATGGTAATCATGCAGATACAGCAACATTCCCCACAAAACACACACACATATATGAAAAATGTTGAAGAAAAAAAATAAAAAATAATTATTTGTGCAAAAAGCCGATTGCTAAGCTATGCCCCTATCAGATGACAGGTGCGTCACAGCGTGCGTCATGAGCCGTCACAAGAGAGCGCCAGAATTAAAATAAACAATATGTAATATCTCATGTTTTTGTAGCATTGAATTAATAAAGCATAAAAAAAGTACTGTTTCAAATAAACAATATTCCGCGTATCTTTGACTTTTTTTTTTAGTGGATGGTCTCATTCTGTTTGTGACACTGTATGCTACAAAACCATGTTGCTTTTTACTACCAAGATGCAGTTTTTTGAGAGTAAGTTATTCCATAACGGATACAAACAATAACTGTCCCGAAGAAATGAGACGTAAACAAAGGAATTACCATCCATATTACAACGTTATTGCTTCGTTGGACTAAAAGTGCTCTATGGGATGTTGTTCA